AACTCTAATGTGGAGATTGTTCAGTTTTGCCATCCCACTAGGCTTAAAATGAGCCATCCCAGAGGTGGACAGGGGGAAATCTCACTATCATCAAGAAAGAAGAGCCAGGAGTAAAGCGCATCCTTTGGACCTGAGATCCCTACAATGAACCTCCTCAACCCAGGAGACAGAGAGAGCTATAACACTTTGTTGAGACAGTGAGAGATGGCAAGAAGCAGTGGTAGAGAAATGGTAACAGCAGAACCAGGAGCCCAGCAAGGGATCTGGCAAGAGATAGAGCAGGAGACAGAGCAGTGGGCCTTCCAGCCCACACAGTGAGCGAGCTGAGTTCCTGCGAGCACGAGGCTTATTGGCAGAGTGGGGTGCCTAGGAGCACTTATCATTGCCAGAGATAAAACAGCTTTGTAACACTTGCTGGACCGGGGCAGAGGCCAAGGGACATTGAGGCCTCAAGGCTGAGGGCCAGAAAGAGGTGTACCTGCAGGCACTGCTGAGAAGAGGTGGCCCTGATGAAAAGAAAGAACTGTATCCTGAGTAGTTTCTGATACTTCACTGTAACCTGCTTCTTTCCCAATAAATCCCATAATTGTGAACATAGTCTGTGAGTTTTGTATGGCCACTGCAACAAATTATCAAACTCAGCAGAGAGAGAAGTAGAGAGTGCCATGGGAGAGACAGCTGGTGTCAGAATTGGTGAAAAGGTTGGAGGGTGGAAGCATATCTGACTTCCACCTCAAACGAATCAGCCCTGGGCTGCTGATCTTGTTCCTCCTTCCCTCTTGTGAAGTTAGATCAGACACTGTCCCCTTGCCATTTTTACAGCTTGTTTTGCCTGCCTTGGAGCTTCTGCAAAGCCGAGGCAGCTTCCTAGGTGGCATTTGTTGTAACCATTTAAAGGCAAATGTATTAGCCACTGCCACATGGAATAAGAAATAACAGTTGGAGCAAGAAAAAGACAGCCCAAAAATCATGGGAAGGAAGAGGTTGGAGAAGATGCTTGGAAGAATAAGGGCTCTCACGTACCCTGGGGAGCCTAAAAGCCAACATATATGCCCAGGACTGGACACACGGTGGAAAGAACTGAGAAGATGCTATGCGCTCACCTCTGGCTGACCCACACGTTCTGTACAAGCCAGAATTGAAGGTTATGTCAGAGTAATCTGCACGGCTAAATGAAAGAGTACTTCGACACAGAGCCCATCTGCAAAGGCAGGGAGAACTTTTTTTTCCTTGTTTTTCTTTTTAGCTCCAGGCAATTAATGAATTCTGTCAAATTAATAGTACACTACTAAGCTAATGAACCAGAGATGTCAGGGGGCCATACTTAACAAAGAATAAAGATCTTACAAGTTTTGTTACAAAAGTCAATAACCAAACAAATAACCACCTCAACAAGTACCAACAAAAAACCCTGGGCAGGAGGAGACTCTAATTTCCCGAGTTGCAACATTATAATATGCAAAAAGTCCAGTTGAACAAACTATTACTGAGGAAATCCAGACATTGCACTTACTAGACAAATACTTTAAATCAACTATTGTTAATATGCTCAAAGAGCTAAAGGAAACCATGCACAAATAACTGAAGGAAACAAGGAGAGCAATGTCTACCAAATAGAGATTATCTATAAGGAAACAGAAATTACAAAAAGGAAACAAGTAGAAAATCTAAACTAGAAAAACTCAGTAACTGAAATGAAAATTGTACTAGAAAGACTGAACAGCAGATTTGAGCAGAAGAAAAATTTGACCTGTTTCAACAAATGGCTGCCATGCTGGAAGCACTCACTCATTTATGCCAAGAAATTTGGAAGACAACATGGTGGACTAGGCAGACAAGCGACACAGACCCTCTTCCACAAAGAAAAGAGAAACCAATTGACAGAGATACAGAAGATAATCCTGGAGCCCTGAGCTTTGACAGGAAGGATACAGAAGTGGATTAGGCACCAACTAGTGGAAAAACCTGAACAAAACAGTGAGCATGGAGACGGTTGGAGCAGTGGACTGTCAGCTACTCTGACGGGACCAACAGCCTGAATATTCCCAAGTGGTGTTGGAACCTGAGAACTGACCTAAAGATCAGCCCTGGTC